GAATGGGGTCATCTTGCAGTTGGTAGGATCAGTGGTGCCTTTGTAAGTGAGGATGGACATTGGAAAAGCCGAATGCCCAAATTGCAAGCTGTGAAGAATAAAGGGAAAAGCTATACAAGGCTTCAGAGGTGAATGTTGCCAAGCTAGTGCGTTGTTTCAGATCAGATTCTTCGGGCTATTCGCCCAGCTCTTCTAAATCTGAATTTCCCAGACTCCACCGGAGTGTATGTTGATTCCGGGCTAACTTACCACATATGCCTCTATAAGGTATGGTCTCCAGCTATTTAGGAGATTAAAGAGGGAATGTTCGTTCTCATGGGTAATAGAGTCACAGATGCCCTATTAGTGTAATTGGTACCGTTCAGATTCGGATGAAGTGACGGATGATCCGGGAGTTGGCTGATGTAGTTCGTTCCTGCACTGAGGAAGAACATCATTTGAACTTTGGGATATTGGAGGCATCAGGCAATAGGTGACCTTGGCGGATCTCGCTCTGAAGTAAACATCGGGTCCCATGATTATGAGTTAGGGAGCAGAGGAGTAACTTGTATTATCTTGCTATGGAGCACGGTAGTTTATAGGAGCGCTGACTTCTCTATGGTAGACTGTGGCATGTTGGTTACTGGATATTATTTTTGTTATACCAATGCACAAGATTATTGAGGGAGTGCTATACCTGCAGATTGAAAGTCCTGTGAGCACATTGGATGAGCGAGAAAGACCGAGGTGAGTTTAGCAACTTCTATCCCCAATCGGTCCGAGGGCTTATTGGAAGTGTTCAGTCAAGGGCATAGGGGGCTTCCGAGGAGGCGCATCATCAGGAGGTAATTCTTATTTATGTTTTCCTATGTTGGAATAATTGTACTAGGCTATTTGGGTGCAAACCAAGTCCCCGTTAGTATAAAGCCCTAGTAGTCCGTAACAGTTGGAGAGGTGTATGGGCAGAAATGTTACCATCGTATACTTTTCCTAGTAAGGAGATCCTTATCCTGAGCATTTGGTACCGAGCTCATGGCAGTTGGAGATACTTCAGAGGATAGAGCAGTGGCGACGTGATGAGATGGCGGAAATTTAGTTGAGGTCGTTCTTTCTGGAGAAAGGATCGCATTGGTTGATCGAGCCAGTGGAATCTGGTATTCAGGCTTTCGACAGGTTATTGGAGTCAACTATATGAGTTTGCCGACTGCTGTGCTAAGTTGTTAGAATCTGGTGGAGCGCTTCAGCTATGGTTGGCGTCGGATATTTAGCTACCAGGCAGCACTTGGATCACATGATGGATGTGAGGATTGGATCCAATTGCCATTCTGGATTCAGAGGCTTGTCGGGCTATTATAGGGAAAGCTTCTGATTTTCTGAGCAAGGTTGATCACTTTGGACTCTCGCAGGTAGAGAGTATTGATCAGATCTGAGGGATTACCAGCTAGGGTGGAGGTATGATGCTAACTCCACATGCGGTGGGGATTTCCCCAATACTCCAGTCATTCTGCATTATATTGGGATCCAACTGAGGTGGTACAGCGTAGAGTCAATTTAATGTTATGTGAGATGATGAGGTAGTTTGAATTTGGATGCAAGCTGGTGGATATGTTTTGGAATAAGGCCATTTGTTACAACTTCATGTGAGGTGTTGGATTGTATTCAATTAGGCATCGTTGATGATGCTATCAGCTGCAAGGTTGATTAGGCGTTTGGAGAGCCATTGGGTAGAACTACGTGGAAGGTTGATTCCTTGGAAAGAGGAATACGTAGGCAGTCTTTAGAGCAGCCATTTTGGTGAGCGACATCGATATTGGGTGAGTGTTTTTAACAACTCTCAATTTGGGTCTAGAAAATAGGCATTGGTGTAGTCGGCTTGTAGGCTAGTTAATGTTGAGTAGACCACAGATGGTTTGGGTGAGCTGTTCGCACTCCTCGTTTTGGGTCTCGAGATGTGTTTGTGGATGGTTCGCGAGTTATCATGAGTCTGTTGTCCATACGTACTGGATGCAGGCAGTTGATGCACTTGGTTTGATTGGAGGTCGGCTCAGTTTTGTGAACATTCGTCCGAGGTGGAGAATTAAAAAGAATTACAGAAAACAGGAAGAAACCTGTAGGCAGACTGGCGGTCGACCACCGGGGAGGGGAGGGGGGAGGGCGGGCCCGGTCGACGCCACGTGCACACATCCCTACTGGGATTGCGAAGGATGGCGGTTTCGACCGCCGAGAGTCCGACGTGATGACATGTACATGGTGTTTTTTCTCGGTTTGGGTCGGTCGAACGCGTACACGATCGCCGCGAGACCTGCGCGGTTCGACCGGCCAAGCAGTTTTATGTCAAGGGTCAGATTTCCAGACCCGTTTTGTTTGTTTGTATAAATACCCTTTGGTTTTTTAGGTATGCAAGCCAAGGATTTTTGAGCAATTTGTGAAGGTTTCGTTTGGCTCTAAATTCTAGAGAGCAATGAGAGATTAAAGTGATTGTTGAGGGTTTTGTGAGAGATGTACCCTAGTTTGATCCTCTTGAGTTTCTAGATAAGAAAACTCCGCCCTCGCTTGTCCACGTGGCACGTAGGCATCTCGGCGAAACGCACGTAAAAACTGTGTTTGATTTTCTCGCTATTTATTTTGATTGTTACTTTGGGCTTCTATTCTAGGAGCAATTGGAGAGATTAAGAGTGAGTTGTTGAGGGTTTTGGTGAGAGATTGTAACCCTAGTTTGATCCTCTTGATTTCTAATAGTAAAAACTCCCCCCTCCTTGTCCCGTGGACGTAGGCATCTCGTCGAACCACGTAAAACTGGTGTTTGATTGTTTCTCCTATTGATTTTGGTTGGTTCTTTATCTTTCTCGGCGATTGGTTTGGTTTCTCAGGCACAACAATTCATACAACAAAAGGCTTGTTTATTAAGCTTAAGTTTACATGTTTGGATATACTTAGTGTGAATTTGAATTATTTTACAGATTGATTCTCAGACCACTCGTCCACCACCTGTTGTTCCTGCTACTACTCCCCCGACTTTAGCTCATCATTCTCTGGATGCTCAGGGTTCTACATCTGCTGCTCAATGTTCTCCTCAGGATATTTCGACACAAAACCCTCTTGCTAGTCGATTAGGAGGCGTGCTGGGGGCATGCTGGGGGGCGTCTTAGGGAGCTTTACACAGGAGGGCTATAGCGAGGATGACATCCGCAAAGCTTTTGCTGATTATATTCGATTAAATCACCTGTGACTTGTACTTTTAATTAACATACTTACATTTGTATATTTTAGATATCCTCTTTTGGGACTTGAGTTAATTATAAGTTGTTGTATTTTGGTTCTAGCTAGTCAATCTTTTGTTTCATGCGTGGGAATATATATGTTGTGAACAGGTGTATTATTTGTGGGAAATGTTATATGTAAACGTTGTAGGCAAAAGTGAAAAAAAGGAAAAACACAAGCACCAACGATTGTAACCGTTGGTGCATGTTTTGAAACAATTAATGCACAATATACGCACCAACGGTTGTAACCGTTGGTGCAAAGAGTTGCACCAACGGGTACAACCGTTGGTGCTGTTGTTTGCACCAACGGTTGTAACCGTTGGTGCCATTGTTTTCATGATTTAATTATTTTTAAATATTTAATTATATTTTTACTTGTACCAACGGGTGCAACCGTTGGTGCAGAAATTACACCCGTTGGGGCAGTTTCAGCCCAACGCTATTTGCTGTAACGGTTGATTTATCTGCCCCAACAGTCCCAACCGTTGGGGATACTATCTGCCCCAACGGTTACAACCGTTGGGGCAAGCCTTCTTTGTAGTAGTGATAGTTCATTTAAACTTCATGATTGGTAATTGTATTTCATTTCTCTGACAAGATGTCCTAGGTCAAAAATTTGACCTCCTCTTTCTCTGTCTCTTTCATAGGAGAACGGACCAGGAGGTCCAAGATCAATTTTAAAACTGGCTGATGGGTCAATTTCATCAAACTAGCAATAAGCATTTGTAACTGATTTTCCACTTAAATAAACTAACCATTCAGGAAATTAGAAAAGACGCTACATGCATGTATGGCCTCTTCAGGCATGCATAAGACTTAAAGACACAACCAATTGTCTCTTTGATTAAGTCAATCTCAACTCTGGATATCTGCAATAAATCTATATATTATTCAGCTTTCAGTCAATTTGGCTGCGCAGGATGTAGTTTGCTAAGTAAAATTATTGTTAATTGTTACTTGGGCTTCTTTGATGATGAGCCAATATTTATTAGTAGCCACTTACTTTGCCTAGAATCAGTGAATTTCTTCTATGCGGGTTTAGGACCTGGACGTCGTAACGAAAAACATTTTAAATCCAAGAAGTAATAAGATGATTTGGATACACGGATGGTATGTTTAATATTTGTGTAATCTAATATATTGTTTGGTTTAAGCGTATCTAACATACGTACATAGGATACTGTCGGTTACATACGATGATTGTATGGAGCTACAATCATCGTATAGGCACAGAACTAAGTACGGGTCCGCATAAAGTCTTTTTTTGTTATAAATACGCTCTCTGACATCTCCGTTCTATAATAGAAAGGATACTTATGTTCTATTTTATTAGCGCAAATATTTTTCATCATTTTTTTTTTTGATTGCTTTAAAATCCTGTACCATATAAATGTTTTAATTCTGATCATCACATGATTTCAAAGAGCACTTGCAATCCATAGTATTCTTTACAAATGAAGGGCAGAAGGTATCGCCAGTGGACCATGAGATGTATGCTGTATGCATGTCTTAATAGAGTAGAATGTAAATGATAATACTTGCAATACGTAGTACATAAAGAGATCTCAATAAATAACGCTAAGTTTAATTTAATATAATATTTGTCTCTCTTAAACTCTCTCTAACCATTGAACTAAAATTTTAAAGTTATTTGTAGGGGTTGAGGACGGGATATAGTTTTTTTTTTTTAATTACTTCTTAACACAATCATTAAATAAGCTATAGCAGCTCACTTACTGATGTAACCATCATTTTAGTATCCTATCCCACAAGCCTTGAAGTCAATTCTCATGCGACTCCAACCCGACAATGTCGACATTTTAACTACTCCCACCAAAAACAAAAGCTGGAAAAAAACACACACGGCACTAACCACGCGCTACAAATAACCATCCAAACCCATCCCCACTCAGCCCAGAAAAACAAAACACACCATGTCTTTCAACAAAAACAACAACATCCTCCCAATCTCCTCAAACCCAAGTTCACCAGCAAAAGACTGGCCGACTGCCGAAAAGCCCGATCCCCGTCGACGGCGAATCTGTATCGGTCTCTTCTGCGTCTGGCCATAGCCGCAATCGCCGCGACCGTCCTCATCCTCGCTTTCACAGTATACAAAATTAGAGAGCCAACAATGAGACTGAACTCCGTCAACTTCAAAGACCTCGACCTCACTAAGAACCTAACCGTCATAGCCGATGTGTCGGTCAAGAACCCTAATGCACTCCCCTTTAAGTTCAAATCAAGCACAACGACACTTCTGTATGGGACCAAACAAGTCGGGGTGGCTTATGGGCCGCCAGGGCAAGTTGGGGCTCGTGGGACGCTGCGGACCAACGTGACGATGAACGTGATTTCAAGCAAATTGGTCGGAGATTCGAAGTTCATGGAGGACGTGGGGAAAGGGTCGCTTGAGCTCGAGACGTCGACGATGGTGGGAGGGAAAGTGACGATATTGGGGATGTTCAAGAGGCATGTGGATGTGATGATGAAGTGTAGCGTGAGTGTTGAGATTGGGAGCCAGAAGATTCTTGATCAGCAGTGCACACAAAAGATGTGGTTATGAGATTGCGTAGATGGTAATTAACTTGCTAGATTGCGCTCTTGAGGGCATGGGCTTAGTTAGTGACATTGTTATGCGTAAAAATTCTGATTTTATGAGCTATATATAGAGAATGGAATTGAGTGCGATATGTTGCAGAGCTTTACATGAATTAAGAGCAATTGGCCTGGTTATTTTTATCATGTACACCATTCAAATAATAGTTAACTTTAAATTATCCTTAATCATACTAGACTCTATAATAACATGTAAGGGTATATATGTAAATTGAATATGCATATATATAACTCTCAAATAGGTGAAATATATTTCCCTCTATTCCTCATATTAAACTCTCAAACAGAGAGAAATATTTTTTTTCTTCACTCCTTCGCACCCCTAATTCCCCTACCCTTTTCCTTCCTACAGCCCCGCACTCCACCCCTATTGAACTGCAAACAAAATGTTAAAATAATTTTCCACCATTATCTGAAGTTGACTATTTTTAAATGATGAACAAATTATCTTTAATTATGTTTACTACCGTTAAAAACAATTTTCTATTGTTAGGATAGACGTAATACACGTCTTTGACAGTTAAAAAAAGAAAGGTTGCTAATAGAAAGAAGTAGCAGTACTCTTTTATTTAAGATGACTTCTTTTTCACTTTAATAGTCTAATTATTCTTTCTAAGAATGTAATCCTTTAATGGAATAATTCAATCTTATTCCTTGTAGGCTAGGGTGACGATTAAACTCATTGGACACGTACAATTTGAAGATTAAAAGAACATTATCATGGATAATTTCAAAACCTATGATATATAGAGGTATATATGAGAAAAACTCGTTAATTATATTTCTCTTTTTTCGGTGTATGTTGATGATAAAATCATACTCTTTTTAAAAGTGTGAGTTTTGAAAAAACTTTCGGTAGACAAAAATATTCTTTATTTTTTAGGTATTACATTTTAATTCTATCCAAAATAATAATTAATTTTTTGTTATTGTTATGTTGTGAATCAAATATTAATCCATTATTGGCCAAGGCTGTAAAGTTGGTTGTTTTGGGGAAGAGTAAGTTGATAAAATGATTTTTAAAGGTAATAGGATAGTAGTTTCGAGTGGGTGATGGATAAAGAATTTAAAATGGAACTTTTTCATGCTTGGTATCTAGAGTTCCACTATAGATGATTTCCTATTGGCCAAAACTAGGAGTAAGCATAATTCGGTTTAAACCGAACAAACCGATCGAACCAGTCGAAATTTAACAGTTCGGTTCGGTTTTTATTAGAGTTCGGGTCGGGTCGGGTTGAAGTTTTTTCAACCCGATTCGAACCGAATTGTATTACTCATTCTAATTACTAGTTACATCCGCTTAAATCCGACCCATTATATTTCATATAGAGTTACTTCTCTGTAGCTTGATATATTTTTCTCTCACGCGACCTGATAGCGATAAAATACCCCATAATTAGTGTTCTTTCCAATTCTAGGGCTTTTCATTATCTCTAGTTCTCTATATCTCTCTATTACATATTCGCTTCTTCTACTTTGGACCAATTCACTTTGAATGTAAGAAACTTAAATCATAATATTGATTCTAACATTTTTCTGATTTTTCTCCTCGATTGATATATTTTTAGATCAGACTCCTCTTTGGATTAGACTTATATAATTTTATAGAAACTATACCCAACATCCAAGTTATTACATATTTTTTTATTTACTTTGTGTATCGGATTGAGATCACTTTAATTCTTTATGTAAGTTTTCTCTAAAAAAATTTATGTAATCTTTGGTAGGAATAAGATTTTGATTTCTACATCTAATATTCAGTAGTATTTAATAGTTTATGAATTTTAATAAATTAAAGTGTAAGAGACTTCTTTCTTCGTCAACAGATTAGAGGTGAAATTGAATATGGACATAACATTTGTACCTAAGTGAAAACCGAACAAACCGACCCGAACCAAACTGAACCGACTTGAATCGGTTCGCTTCAGTTTTGAATGATAAGCAATTCGGTTCGGTTGGACTAAATTTAGCAAAAAACCGAACCGACCGACCGATTGCACAGCCCTAGTCAATACTTCAAGTTTTCTGTGCAACCATCATCAGTTAGAATCCCTTCAATTTGCCTTCATATATATCTGGACTTGCGTGTTGTAGTAATAAGAAGAAAACAAGGCCTCGTCAGTTTTTTTTTGGAAGCCCTTCATCTTTCTTTGTTCCTATTGCTTGATCTTTTGTTGCTATTATTTTGTTCCTATTGTTTGAGAGAGATAAATATGAGTTTTGGGGTGTTAATTTGTATTAGTGATTGAGAAATCTTAACATTGTATCTTTCAAAATTTAATAATAAAGTTATTCCCCTACTTTGCCCATGATTGTATGCTACTAGCCAAACCACTTTTATCAGTGTGTATTGTCCTCTTGATTTTCTTTTTCTTTTCCCTTTCATGTGATTTATAAACTAAATCATGTATATTTTTGAGTATATTCTTCTTAATAGTTTTTGTGCTTTCGTGTGTTTGATATTTATTTACGTTTTCAACATAACATCATTATCAATTCAAAGAAATAATAAATAATAAGCTAACGATTGTATATGAAAAGACATCCAACTTTTCACATATGGTTATCAATTAAATTCTATATTTCTATATCAACAAGGTAACATCATGGTGTTCTCAAATTAAGGTTTGTTAAGGAATACTTGACTTCGATTATTGGATTATTGAAGATCCATCTTGACAACTAGAGATTATTGCCCGCGAACCCTGAACAAAAAGAGTTAGTTTAGTATTCTAATCTATAATATTTTTATTTTTTTTATTGATGTGAATATTTATCTTACTTGAGATAACATCCCATAGTGACAGCTAAAATATATCAATGAAACATAACATCCCATAGTGACAGATAAAATATATCAATGAAACTTAACATGAAATGTCTAAGGATAAAATATTGCATGATAAATTAACAACTAACATTAATTGTACTATAAGCGGCTACGAACATAATTTGTACATTTAAAAAATAAACTACAAAATTTAACATCTTAATTGATCATAACGCTCATAACTATCACCGTACATATCCTCTTGAAACAACTGTCAACGTTATATCAGCGGGCTCGAGAATAGTAGCAGGCACAACTGTCAACGTTATATCGACTCCTCTAGGTGAGTCTACAATGCCCGTCGGGTTTGGGGGAATAACAGCCTGAAGATGAGAATTGAACGGCTGACCCATAGCCATGCTTTCCTCCAACGGGGAAGAAACAGAACCCTCAGGTAAACTAAGGAGGCCAGAAATCATAGCCGTATCAGTCCTAGTGGCTGGTCCTACGATTAGAATTCCTTATCAGTCCAATAGAGATTTTGACAAATAAAGAGAATGACGGTGTAGGGGATTATATGCATACCTGCAGATGAACCACCCTCATGTAAACTAGGAATGCCAGAAGTTGTAACCGTATCAGTCCTAGTGGCTGGCCCTACGATTAGAATTTCTTATCGGTCAAATAGAGATGTCGACAAATGAAGATAATAACAATGTCAGGGATTAGATGCATACCTGTAGATGAACCACCCTTAGCGAATA